GCATGATAGGATATTATATTATCAACAATAACATTAACTCTATTGGTATTCCATCAATGTCTTATGATGTTGATTAAGTAAATTTGACTATTCCTCTTGGATTTGTATTTATCATTTAATTATTCAAAAGGGGTGTGCTAATAACTTTACATTGTGGAAGTAGACTAGTAGTCAGCTCTTCCACAGCAACTAGCATATATAATACATCCAAGAGCACAAAAGGGAAAACAAACGACCCAGTAAAAGGTCAATATATACATACTTAAATATTTTTTTAATTTGCTAAGAACCAAATTAGCGACTGCAGTTGGATTGGATAAAATTCCATATTCATAAAAGATCATCTAATATATAGAATTAGGGCATAAATAGAAGGAACTGATTAATATCGTCAAAGTTTCTGCAGTAATAATCTACAAAGAAAAAAAAACCAGTAGTATTAGTATTTGCTACGCTTAATTAGCAGACATGTGGAAAACCAAAGTAATTAATAACTAAACCTGGGGAATCATTATCCTTAACTAAGGTACAATGTTTTGATGTCGAAGCTACTGTTACAGAGTCTAATAGCAACTAAAAAAGGGTACAAGTTCATGTTCATGATTGAAAAGGGATAAACCAAGACAGAGCTCGTGGCAATCTCTTGGTGCATAATACATATCAGATAGATCATGTTCTTCCTAGTCAATGATTATATCACAAAGTGGAAAAGGCATTGTGGTATATATTCCAACTTAGTGGTGTTCTCCAAAATAAAATAGGAAAAGGCAACTACTGCTCTTCAGAATCTCATCATCACAAAGGAGACAGATGGAGTTTTGTGGCGAACCTTGTGCGTAATGACTCTTGAATCTGATGAAGCCAAAGTGGTGAAAGGAATGAAAGAAACAACCAATTAAGTTAGTGGGGTTGAACAATGACTTGGATTCCAACTTTGTTATTTGAAAAATGAGATGGAAATCATCTCTTAATTATTCAATTAGCAATCTAATTCAAATTTTAATTTGTAAGACATACTCTTAACCAACTCTTTTTGAAATTCTTCACCATCTGCTTCTGAGATATGTTGTTGCCTCAACTGCAAAATTTGCAGGGTTCACTCAGTACGATTCGAGATGCTTCAGGCAGTTTTATCTTTACTACAAATCTAGCTAATATGACAGAAGATTAGTACTGTAAACACAATTCTATTCTATCTAAAAGCATATTATTCCCAGTCCCACAAGGGCGTCATCTTTTTTGGCACCAGAAAATATATCCCTGGCAAAGGATTTGCCACATCCCTCTAGGCTCTCTACCTCCAACTTAATCTGTATTGGCCAATAGATGTCCACCTACTTCTTTCGGAAACTATTTTCCTCATCTCCCTTTTTGTGTATCTCATTGCCACAAAGCAGGAGTTCAGTCAATACAGATAAAGAGAAGTGCAAATCTGTGTTATGCTCATGAGGATTAGACTGATCGGCATCCAACTAATTAGTATCTCAAAAAAGCATGCATCAAAACATGTACATATTAAGGCGCACATTCGGTGTGTATGCATTCAGTGCTAAAATTCATGAGTTTTGCCAGCAATATACACAAAGAAGGGGCACCAGCTTTTCTTAAATGAGAAACCCTTCATACTTTACGTGTAGCTCTTTTTTACCGACAATCATCACCAAGTCATCAAATGCATAAAGGCTCCAGCTTGCTGTGTCTTCTTTCTGTCTTTCTGACTCTGTTAGGTAAAGTAACAAGTGATATACATCAACGACCTGATCAAAGTTGAGATAAAGCGCACTAATTGCGGATAATAACCTACAGGTTTGAAATTAACTTTACAAATTAAAAAACTTGGTGTCAAATTTAACGCACTACAACCCACAAAGTGATATAGAGGATATTCTGCACTACAGAAACGTGTCCAGTATTTTACTTATAGTCTATTAAGTTGTCTAGATCTTCTGCACTAATTATTGATAATGCAAACAGGATTTCTTTCTACCTCCAATGACTATAGGAGAATGCAAACCTGTCGAGGCTACTAGTAGAGGCTACTAGTAGTAGTACTGTAGAAATGAATTATCTACACTCTAACAGACAACTAACGCAAGCCTATTCAACAAATCTCATAAGATAAGTAAACGCCTGTTCGCATTGCAACTAATAGAAAAAAACAACTACTAGACTATATTCTTGCTTATAATTTCACTCTCTCCTCTATACTACTTTAATTCTAGTACTCCTTTATTGGAAGCTATAATATATAAAAAAGTATAGGAGACTATCTACATATACTTATGTTAAATTCTTTAGGTAAAGAATTCATGATAATTAAATGAGACTTCTATAAGCACAAATGCCCGATGGATCGATCAAATACACTAAAGACTTAGAAAAAGTACATTACATGTTTCTAAAAGAATAAACAAAATAACAAGTGCTTAGGCCACTCATCTACTACAACAAGGCAACCAATATAATCGGTCAATTGCCCTTGTGTTACCTGCTTGTAGAGAAGGAACCATCCAATCTTATTGGTTGGAGGGAGAAAAGGCAAGCTCACGTGATTTACATGTAAACATATTTAGAATCTTTCTTAACCATAAAAAACTATGTCATCGAGCACCATGGGCAGTTAAAGTCTCTACAGAGGACTACCTATACCATTGTTCATCCAGAAGCTAGCTGAGTTGACTATATCTTAGAAGGGAGGAAAGGGTGCATTAGAATTTATTATAGCTAGCTTTTGCCCATATGATTTATCATTAGATGAATAATGTATACTATATCTTAAACATAAACTGTGTTTAATCTATTCATCTAAACTAGTGTTGCCCGCATGTGTTTCGGTTCACACTACAAAAAGCTTACACTTAATGGGGGTGTGGGAGACTTCGGTGCTCTTCTTTTTAGGGGAAAGGGCACATTACACTACAAAAAGCTTACACTTCATATCTGAGTATTATGGAGCACGAAAGGGCACAGTTATCATATGGGGTATACTTTGCATAAAGTTCTTCATTGACCAGATTGTGGATTCTGATAGGCCTCCCATTCGAGCGCATGTCATTCTTGCTTACATCAAATTCTTTTTCTAGGACATCTACATGAACCTATGAAAAAAGATTTACATTAAAGAAACAAGAGCATTACCTTTTCTAGTTGGTTGGTATGAGAGTTATCAACTGCATGATGATACAGGGATTTGATAAGAGATGGTTCTACTTAAGAAGATTGCTTTAAACTCCATGATCAACCTGGTGCCATGCAATCAAGTGACATCCAATTTACTGAAACATTAACTGTTGATGAGATGAACAAAATATGCAGATGTTATGTACATTAATGGATTAGTTGCACGCTATGTCACTTTCCTGTTGTCTCATCCGGCTCTTACTGTTGTTTTACCCCATTTCCATTGTAGCTTAAGAAGAAATTTTTGCATACGTAAGCCCTACTGCTATTAGTGAATTCCTTCTAGTTTCTTAATCAAAATGCCATCAGGGGCCTACTAGATTGTAGCTTCTAATAATTTTACCAGACCAGAGACCAAACAATATAATGGGAGAACTTTCAAAGTTCTTTTGCAAAACCCGGTGCCACTTTCAAAAGCAAAATAGAATTGTCGAAATTCGGATTAGCCTGCCTAACATTGGCATCAATACTCAGATGTTAGGTACAAATGTAGCAGAGAAAATGCTTTAAAATTATTATTTCTAAGACCTAAAAGATGCAGAATCTATGGGAGACCTATCCCACTTCATATTATCCATAACAACTTCCATTTATTCATTTTCAGCCTTACCTTTTAGCATTCTAAGAATGTTCTCGTGGTCATAGTGCAGTAATTATTTTGTATTCTTATCGTTTCCCTTTTTCCCTTTTCAATACTAGCATTATTGCCTTAGTGCCAATCACTTTGAACTGTGTGCTTTTTCTTTAACTTGCTCCAATCACTTTGAACTGTGCTTTTTCTTTAACTGCCTTTATCGTTCTTCTTCTCTTTTCTTTTGTTTCTTTTTTCTTTTTCTAGGTAAGAGGTTGTCACATACTTACAATTTATATCCTTGCGGAATTGAGGCTGAATATTATATCCCAGTAAGTAGCCGTTTGGGGTCAATTCTCTTCCTTATTTGTTGAAGAATTTGTGCTCTCGGTGGGTGTTGGGCAGAGGGAGAGAATGATAGAGAACTAACTAGTACTGTATTTGACCAACAAAATGCTGTTGAGTGTAAGTGGTTCAGAAAGTAGTAGTTTTCCGATGCTACAGAGAGAAGAAACAAACCAAAGATGTTGGCCATCATCTTCATCTGAAAGCAAAACCTCTCCTCCTATCCTATTATAGGAAAAGCATAATAATAAACTAATGGTGCTGCATGCAATGCAAGTGTTGCACAAGCAGGCACAATGCAATCTGAGGTTCTGATCTGATCTACTTTCTTCTATTCATGGATGATGAATTTCAACCTAACAGGATGATAGAATATAGAAAAATGCCTTTCTTTTTGGTGCTTAATTCTTAATAGGGCAAAGGATAGTTTCTTTTTCTTTTTCCAAGTTGGATCTCTTCCCAACTACACTAATAAAAGCTAGTTGATAAACTTTCCCAAATGTATGTATGTATACAAATTCAATACACTAGCTAACAATTTTAGGCTACGGAAAGGAAAACTCTATCTATCTCTATGTATCTATCTAGCCATGCGGCGCAGAGGCCACAACCTATTAAGAAACATCCTCATGGGAGTGAGGATTGACATGCTCCTATGATCCTATCCTAACCAAACCAACCACTAACATTTGTTTTTAGTAAGGAGTAAGGACATCATCATAGTGTCTATAGACTAAAGTGCAAACAAAAATAAAAATAAAGTAGTTTTGTTCTATTTTCTTTTAAATATTATAGTTCAAATAAAAATAACATTATTTATTATTTACAAGAAAGATTCTTCCAAAAAACAAAAAACAGAAAAAAGGAAAATAGTATAGTGATTAAAAAAAGAGAGCATCTGAGTGAGTCACAGACCTGGCTGAACCGAGTCAAACACACCTCGAATACATCAACATCAAGACAACAAAAAAGCCATCCTTCATCCATCTGGTCGAGTCATCAGCTTCTTCCAATTCTAAGTGAGAGCCGCAAATCTTGAAGCACAGCAAACAAAACAACCACTTCCCAGAATGAAGGAAGAAGAAAGCCTCATGTCCACCCAAACCCAACTTCTGCACTACTGGGGCAACACCCCAGAGCAAGAATACTACAATCTCCAAGGCATCAAAGCCTCCAAATCCTTCTACACCTCGCCCAGGGGCCTCAAGCTCTTCACCCGGCAATGGCTGCCCCTCCTCTCCCCTCCACGTGGCCTCATCTTCATGGTCCACGGCTACGGCAACGACATCAGCTGGACCTTCCAAGCCACCCCAATTTTCCTCGCCCAACAGGGTTTCGCCTGCTTCGCTCTCGACCTCGAAGGCCACGGCCAATCCCACGGCCTCAGGGCCTTCGTCCCCGACGTCCATCTCGTGGTCCAAGACTGCCTCGCTTTCTTCACCCTGGTCAAGCAGCAAGAACCCCAATTTCTAAACGTCCCCTGTTTTCTCTACGGCGAGTCCATGGGCGGCGCCATTTGCCTTCTGATCCACTTCGCCGAGCCGGAAGCTTTTCAAGGTGCGATTTTGGTGGCACCCATGTGTAAAATTTCTGATAAGGTGAAACCCAGGTGGCCAATTCCTCAAATTCTGACGTTCGTGGCCAGATTCTTTCCCAGCTTGGCCATTGTGCCCACTGCGGACCTCATGTACAAGTCCGTGAAGGTGGAGGAGAAGAAGATCATAGCGAATATGAATCCGATGAGGTACAGAGGAAAGCCGAGATTGGGGACGGTAGTGGAGTTGCTCAAAGTGACGGAGTATGTGAGTCAGAGATTGGGCGATGTGAGTCTTCCGTTCATTGTGTTGCATGGAAGCGCAGATGTTGTGACTGATCCGAATGTGAGCAGAGCATTGTATGAAGAGGCCAAGAGTGAGGATAAGACGATCAAGATTTATGAAGGGATGATGCATTCCTTGCTGTTTGGGGAGACTGATCAAAATGTTGATATCGTTCGCGCTGATATTCTTTCTTGGTTGAATCATAGATGCCATGCCTGAGGAGGAGGAGCTGAATGACATCAAATTACTACCTTTTTTTTTTTTTTTTTCAAAATGGTATAATCATATTTTTCAATTATCACATAGAGATTCAAATCAAAACTATTTTTGTGTTTTATTTTCAATTGTCACTATTGAAATTGTGTTTGATTGAAATGAAATTGTGTTTGTAGCATGTCCTGCCATGTCCTGATGACGAACATGGAGGCATTGAATTTGCATTGCGTTGTATTATTTGCCGACTAGCACAACCACCATATGGTCTTGCAAGTTGCATTTGAAACCCTCGCGCGTTTTGACTAGTTTGCTTAATTATGTTTAGTCACACAGAGAGAGAGAGACAGAGAGAGAGAGAGGTATTGCTCCCACCAAAATCAGCAAACCCAAGCACGTACATCATTAGTGATTAGTGACCATGAAACCAATTTGCTCAACATAAACCATGGATTAATCGTCGATATGAACCAACTGATCACGAGAAGAAGCAAATTTTCACAACCAAACATTTGTATTATGTATATCATAACTAACAAAAAGAAAATATTATAAAAAGAACAAAGGGAAATACCCTCTCATTTACAATTTAAAAACAAAAAGAAAAAACACGAGAATCTTCACTGGAACTTCACATCTTTAATTGCTTTAAACTTCCTACTCCACATCCTATACAATATCATGGAGAAAACGAGGGCAGGGAAAGAATAGAAATTTCTAGAGAACAAATTTTGGAAAAAAAATGATCATGTGATTCTATACAGACTATGAACATAATCTTCTTGTTGATAGAGCCCCATGCTACTCCTTTTAGATCTATGGTCAGATAATCTTCTTCAACTATCAATTATGCTGCTGCCAATGCCAAAAACAAACCTATTGACAATACCTTTTGTGTTAGCAAAACAAAATCTGCTCAACCTATAAAAACTCTCTAATCACATCATAAACAGGTATTTCAGATCCTCTACTGTCAGACGAGTCTGGCGACCACCAGTTTCATCCTCTCCAAACGCAGAGGCCACCATCTCTCTCTTCTTTTGCTGCGCAAAGGGATAATGCACAAATGTGGTTATCAGCCAAACAATATAATATATATTCCATAAGATAATGCAATGCATTCATCTCCTTCTCGATGTCTGGTCTCGCTAAACATGAGCCAAAGAAATATGTACTATCCAACAAAGAAATCAGCAAATATATACCATCCAACAATGAAAGTAAAAAATATGTAAACACTGCCCTACAGAACATTACGACCCAAAATGAGTATGTAAATATAGTTTTTTCTGTCCACCCAGCTTTCCTGAGACGAGCCAATTTTTCTATACCATGATGTACTAACAAACAGCAGGCATCCATGTATACATCATAGATACTCAGAAAAACATACTGAACTACAGTTTGTTAGGAATACATATTCCCCAACTAAAAAACACATGAAGATGAAAAGCCCTACTAGCCCAAGTTATTTCCTCTAATGCCAATGCAACCAACAAATGCTACCTAGTTCTTCCCCAGTCCATGACTCCATACGAAAAATGTACAAGTAGTACCTAAGGTCATTGGTCTAATACATTTGCGCTTCAGCTTATCCATGCTTGTACTGTAGTGGTTAGAAAAGCTAAACTACAAATAAAACAGAAAAAATAAAGAATGCAAGGAAAGTACCTGAAGGGCCAAAATACGATCTTCAACAGTATCTCTCACAGTCAACCGTAAAACTGTAACAGGACGAGTCTGCCCAATACGATGTGCTCTATCAATTGCTTGATCTTCTGTGGTAGGATTCCACCAAAGATCCAAAAGAAGAACATGACAAGCTGCAACCATGTTGAGACCAAGACTAGCTGCTTTCAAGGACATAATCATAACTGACACCTACAAGAAACCAGGTCAAACTTCAGAACTATCAAGTTAAAAGGAAAAAAACTAAAACTAAAAAATTTCTTTGAAACTTATATCAAGATATCCTATCATTTCCACAAACCTCCGGAAGGGTGTTAAAATCCTTGACAGCTTTATCTCTAGCAACAACTGACATTGTTCCATCGAGTCTTCTATACTCAATGGAAGAGGTTTTAAGGCACGCTTCAAGCAAGTCCAGCATCCTTGTCCACTGTGAAAAGACTATTGCTTTTTCTCTAACTACCTTATTTGAATTCTTAGAACACGTCACCACATCCAAGTTCTGTCTATTAGGAACATCCTCAAGTGGTTCAACCACACAAATATCAGAAGAATTTTCAGGACAGCCAGCATTTCTATCAACTTGGTCATCTAAGCAACTATTTCCAGAAATACAAGCCTGCGGTTTACACATTGCGCACAGAACCTCAAGAGCAGCCTTAATTTTTGAAGAATTATATGAGTGATCCTCATAGAAAGACTCTACAGCATCAAAAACTTCTGAACCAATGCTATCTGGATTAGGCTGGTCAGATAGAGAACTGTTCAAAGTGGCTTTTGAAAACACTGAAGAAACGTTTAGTCTAACTTTGCAATTTGTGTTGGGGCACTGGTTGTCATCGCCAGTAAGATGTTCAGAAATGCATTGGCTACAGAAGACATGACCGCATTCGGAAACAACAGCATCTTCAGGTGGATCCTGAGAAAAAAATAAATCAAGGTGCCAAAAAAGAAAAGCCAGACAAATTTCTTAACAAGGCAACTTCCAAAGCGCTTAAAGCAAAGGGATATATCCAAAGAATGTCAAGGGATAAAGGCAATACAAATGCACCATAATTTGGACAGTTGGTCATGTGTGCAATTCTCACAAAAACTACATCCATAAAGGGCTATATCAATTATGCATATTAACAAGACAACCTCTGAAGAAGATAGAAAAAATGGATGCTACGCCACATGCCATCCACCCATTTCAGTAAACATAAAATCATTATGTATATACAATGAAAATTATCAAAGGAAAAAAAAAAAAAAAAAAAAAAAAAAAAAAAAAAAAAAAAAAAAAAAAAAAAAAAAAAAAAAAAAAAGTTCAAGTGAACACTTACATTGCAGAGGCTGCATATTGCCAAAGAAGCTTCTAAACAATTCATAAGCAAAAGTTGTTTGTCACGGGGAAGTTTCTTTGCATTCTCAACTGAAGATCTCCATAGAGAATGTGAATCATACCGTCTAACAAGAAGAGGGTGATCACAAGCTTGTCGAAGACGCAAAAGCATTAACAAAATGTTAACATAATTTTGTTTGACAGTCCCAGCAGCTGCGTATTCCTGGCATAGCAAGCATATGTATTTGAGAACATGACCAAAGGCAACTAAACATGTATATCACAAACTTAAAAGAAACGTACTCTGAAAAACTAAAATCTAAAAAAAACTAAAAGGAGCTAAAAGTGTCCTTTCAAAGGGGGAAAAAGAACACAATGACAAAAATAAAGCAATTCCACTATCAAACCCCAAATTGGCTTTCCCAGTAAAAACATACCTCAAACTGTGCACGTGAATCAGCCTCTAGCCTGGAATAGAAATCTCGTTCTTCCTTTGAAAACTCCACCCTTTTCAATTCTATAAATTTAGGTGGTAAAGTAATAATAGGTTCGCCATCAAGAAGTGTGCCTACAACGAACAATTGCCATCAGATGGTGATAAATCAATGTAGATCAATTGGATATTGACAGTAAAAATGCCAGTGGGAAGAAATTTACAGTTGAGAGCTCACAAATATTATAGAATGATTATAGTGATAAACATTTGTTTTTAATTTAAAAACAAGTTCTAAAACAAAATGCCTTTTATACTTCAATTCACTTCAGATCACAGAAGTTAAAGCTTATTAAATTGTAACCATCCTAGAAAATAAGCATGAATAATAAGTGATAGTTCACCATTGGCTAAAGTCAATGAGAATGACTAGAACACATACAACACTAATTTTCCAAAGGCACCAACAAAACTAGTAAATTAAGAATATCAAAATAAGCACCATTAAAAGATTCAAATAGCAGAAATATTATATTTTATCACACCTTTTGTGCGGCGTAACATAATTGTCTTCAAAACAGCTTGTAGTTTTCTGTACCCTTTTGCTGGATTCTTACTAATTGGGACCTTAATTGTAGAGCAAAATGACTTGTATACAGCATAAGGATCATATTTGAGAAATCTAAAGTAGCTATAAAGGTCATCAATCGCATTCTGGATAGGAGTCCCTGATAAGCACCACCTGCGTTTTGCACGCAGACCCCAACAGGCCCTAGCCACTTGAGTTCTGTGATTCTTAATACTCTGAGCCTCATCCAGGACAACCCTAAACCATCCAACCTTAGCAAGAGGGCGAGCAACAGACTCAAGCATTGCACTCTCTAATCCCTTTTTACCCTTTGAACATTTATTAGCAGAACCTTGAGGATATTTCCTTTTCTTACTGGATGAGAAACCCACATGTGGAATATCATTCTCTTCTGGCTTCACTTTCTCCTCATCATCTTCATCAACAAGAGGCTGCTTTGGGACCTCCATGCTGACAATTGAATATGTTGTGAGGACAACGTCAAACTTAGCCAGCTCACAAGGATCCTTCGTTCGGTTGCTTCCATGGTAAACTAGCACAGAGATATTAGCTTTTCCAGTTACCTTATTATGCAACTCCTCAGCCCACTGGCGGAGGACACTTGTAGGACAAACAACAAGTGTTCCAGCCGCTGGCCTTCCCTTTGTCTGTACCAAAGGTTTCATGCTCTTCTTTTGAATTCCATTTGGGATAACCTCACGGGCATCAGCATGTTGCTTCCGTCCAACAATCTCAGAAGGCATATCATCATCATTGTCCAAATCAAGAGTTTCCAGCTCGTGCTTTTTAACATCTTGACAAGCCCCATAAGAAGGAGGCCTTTCCTTAAGTATAAGTGCAATTGTCGATATTGTTTTTCCCAATCCCTGCAAAATGATGAGTATATAAACGCTTGAGAATATTTGGCACAAGTCCTGTCAGATGAAGTTGTGTTAGCTAATAAAAACTATATAGTACAGACCTGATCATCCGCAAGAATTCCTCCCGAACAGTGCAAACTAGCTGTCTCCTTTTGAACCATCCATGACAATGCAATTCTCTGTCCAGGATACGAGTTAAAACTTAAATGGGCCCCATTTAGTGCATTCACCGATACACAAATATACGCAAAGCAGTAGTCTAAAACAAAAAGGCACTGGTTCCAATTTTAAAATAGAGGGATAGTAGGCACAAGGAAGTAGACTCCTTGAAAGAGAAAATTCCAAAATAATCATGGTTCCATATAACCAGCCAGTTATGACTTTTAAAAAATCATGAACATTAAACAGACATGCCAAAACCCAAGTGCAAGCTGAGGAAACCCAACTTCTAATTTCAGGTAGAAGATTTTGATTCCACAACATGAACCGCTTGATAACCTGCCATTATTTTAGAAAACATGTACAACTCGATCTACATAAATAAGCTTTCTGCCTGTCTATTGGAACACAACCGGAAAACCATTTTTTAAACCTTGAAACAAGGAAATAACCACTCCAAAGTACTTGTATCTGAGTTTATTTTAGTTGATAATCACAATACCAAACTAAATACTTATCACACTAGATTCCCAGTGGACCCACCCAATTGCCATTTTTGGGGGTTGAAAACAATATTTATCTACAATGAAAGTTAAAAAGAGGGTACAATTCAAAACCTGATGTCGTAAAAGAGGAACTGCTAAAAGTCCATCTGGTGGAATAGCTTCCGACTTCGGCTGTGAAAGGTCCTGCAGTGCATCACAAAATTTGTCCCACCAAGGTTTCAGATCTCAAGTTTTAGTAAAGCCCATAAGCGCTTTTACATTTTCTTACTAAAACAAGCACCAAAGAAATATGTCACCCAATAGAAATCTGGGTGGCATGATAGCATTTTGAAAAGAAGGAAAAAAAAAAAACCTTGCACCAAAATGTAACTAGTAGAATTCGAAGGGATGAACATATCTCGAACATACGCAGCAGAGAAGTTGAAATTTTTTTTTGAGAAGAAACGAAATTTATTAAACAAAAAGAACACGGAAGTGGATAAGGCAACCACAATCCGAAGAACAAAAACAACACAAAAAGAAAGAAAGAAACAAACAAACAACACCCTCCCCTCCCAAACTAACAGGGCGGAGCTGAACAGCCCACCCCCCAACACTCAGATAACCGCAGCTGCCATATCCCTCATAAAAGTGGAATAAGAGTAGTCTTTAAAAACTTTTGTAACAGAAGCCCACAAAGCTGCCCGGTACTTAACTCTATCCCACAGATCACTCACTCCCACTCCCTTATAGTCTTCAAAAATTCTCCTATTACGCTCCATCCAAATGTTCCAGAAAATAATAAATCTCAGATATATCCCAATCTCAACTAGGACAAAATATAAACAATGCGCCCAAGAAAGAGCATCCAATATGATACCATAAAAAATATGTTTAGCATATAAAAATAATGAAATAATAAAAACAATATTAATAAAGCTTTTCAGTATTTCATGCAGACAGCATATTTCCAAAAACCATTGAGAGGCAATAAAGTTCCAAACTAAAAGAGCTAACCTGCAATGCTACTCTCAAAATCAATTGCTCATCTCTTGCCTTGCATCTCATGCCTCCCACTCCTGTGTAATGATCACTAGGTGCCAATTGTGGTGAATTAACGAGGGTATTTCCAAGTGCTGGAAAGCGATTCAAGGGCGCATGGTAACTAGTATTGATAACCACTGGAGAGCGATTTGAGGGTGCAGGATGACTGATATTTTCAATGATGCGTACATCAAAGTCATCTTCTGCAGGAGACTTGTCAGAGAAGTTACTATGAATTGATTCAGGGCTGACTTTCGAAAGATGCATGCTCTTAGAATCTGCATGTTCGTCCTTAACGTAAGCCTGATTATTGCTTGAAGTGAATGGCTGAGCAACTGGCAAATAACGTTCCGAGGCATTTGAATTCATAGATGGACCATCAATGGGAGATGTAGAACTTCCATTCATATTATCTTGAAAATGACAAGCTCCTTTATATGAAACAATCATGTCTTCTTTATGATCCACTGGGTTACCAAGATTCTGAGTTGATATACCAAAACCAGAAAGCTTTGAGTGTTTGTCAAAAAAGTGATCATCAGCACTGAAAGAAGACTGTCTACTGACAGCTTCATCCATGGCTCGATAGGGATGGCACATAACACTACTAGGTGCAACTAACTCATCGATCATTTCATCCTTCACGCCAATGGGTTCCATTTTGCTTGATATATATGTCTGAGTATAACTCAGAGGCTTGATTGACGAATTTCCACTGATTGCTGGTAAACAATTATCATACCCAAAATTCCACTCCACATCTAAAACATCAATCATTGATGGCTGGAAAGAAGATTTACCAGTTATTCCCTCCTGACCATTTAAATTCATCTTACTACTTGAACATGAACTATCAGTTGGAAACTCCCCTGATTCATCCTTCACATTAGCCATCATTTCTTCATTACTCGGAAAATAATAACTAGTAGGACTATGATGCATTAAGGTATCAGCCAAAAACGTATTATCTAAGCTCATCCCACACAAAGCTGGGTAATGGTCACTGAAAACATCAGAATTTTGACAGAGAGTAGTTTCCATAGATGTGCAGGAATTATTTTCTGAAGGTCCTTGGGTTTCTCTGGTATTCTCCCCCAAATTGCCATAGGTTCTGTAACTTAGATCCATGTTCTCAATACCAAGGCATTGTGTAGCATCTGCAATCAATCATCAGAAGGCATAATTAGTGCTTCCACCTCAAATTTTAAAAACAATACAAAGTACACATGCAATGATCTATATTAAACCTTCAAACATAACAAAAATGTGATTCCTTGATCCAGTTTATAACCCAGATGAAAGATTAACATACATTCAGAATCAACTTTCCCTGCCATGTCAGCTTTCTGCTGCAGGACATTGGGATCTCCGTGGTCCAAAATATGGTTAGCATGCCCTTCAGCAAAACTAGATGCCGTACTACATGTGGGCTGTGAAACTGCAACCCTCTCTGCAAAGCAAGCCTCATTGCCTGGAAACAAGGAATTCCAGTCTTTAAGACTTGTAGAGTAGGCATGCCCAGGAGAACCAGTGTGTGCTGATGGTTCCATCTCTTTGTAATCAAAACTCATTGCACGGTTCCCTGCAGATTCAAAAGAGCCGTCTGGACCCCCTGCCCCAGAATCTGAAGCTTCTAAGCTGTATGGAGTATGCCATGAGCCTGGACCCATTAAATCATTTTCAATTGGTGGTTCTTCCTTCAACGCTTGAAATCCTAACAAAATCACCAGTTAAACAAGCAATCAAATGGTAGTCAAATGTAGATGTTTGTAATATACCTTCCAGAATACCAGAACTTTATAGAAGACAACAATATCCTACTACAAAAGAACGCCAAGAAAAGCATTTCATAGATGGCAGAAACAAAGATACATTAAAAAAACTAAAAAGTCAGCACAAAATGATTTACCACTTTGGAGCTGAGCATCGGAAACTGCTTCAGCTTGCAATTGATTTTCCAAGGAATAATTCTGTGGACGACTCTGCAGTTGGTACTCCAAATGTCAGCTTTAAAAGAAAAAGGAAAGTGCTAACCATAAGGCTAGGGAGGCAATAATTTTAATAGAACAAAACATAGCAATGAAAAAGGAAGACGTCTGTAAGTTTCAGCCAGATGTAGCAATAAACAAAACAAGAAAGGCATGTGGAAATTTTTCTACAACATTTGACATGCCAATATACTCATAAACCCCTTTGGTGCTTCCAGTTACTATACCATACTACCCCTTCTGCTAGTAATTAAAGAGACAAAAAATTGATCATTCTTATCAACACCGCCATGATTTTTCACGAATAACCAGCTGAAATTAAGTGTTTCCACTAGAATTGCATTTAAGTGTTTCCAAGCTCAAACTTAAGGTTGCACAAGAACTCCAAAAAGCACACGAGATTTGCACCGCCCACTGTGCAACGAAGCATCCCAAAAATTGCAAAGAAGTTAAACCCTTTTCCAAGACAGGAGTGCGGAAATTACCGGGGATTCTTCAGCGATAAGGCCTAAGAGCGTGTCTACATCCATCGACATACCCTCATCGTCGAGATCCACGCCGGCGAATCCATAGGCGGCCGGTAACTGATTCCAATTCGAGCTGTCCTCCGCCTGCAACATACTGACACCCTAATCCTAGCTTCTCGACTCTTGAACCTCTTTGAAAACCCTAAGTAGACTCAGTCCGATTATGCTCCGAATTTAGAAACAAAAGCTTGGATCCGGGCAATTGCAATCGCATTCTCAGCGAAACGACCAAGAAATTCTAAGGAACTTGAGCGCGGAGAGAGAGAGGGAGGGGGTTTTGGATCGTTATCAATGTGAAGGCTTCTGAGAAAGTTCGCGCGATGCGACTTTTCTTTTATAACTTTTTCTTCTTCTTTTTTTCTTTTCTCTTTTGTCGTCCTCAAAGCCGCGGATCGTGAAGAATGTGGTGGCGCAGGTTTACATTGGGTATGGGTTTTTGGGGGGTGCGTAGGTTAAGGACTCGTTCTAATTTTCTGGTTGGTGGTTTTTGGGGTTTTTGCTTTCGTTTTCCTACTCGGATCGGACTAGGAATTCCGAAATGGGTTTGGAGATTTGATTTCATTATTGCGGACCATGGCCTTAGATTCGACTGCCACGCAACCACTCACGCTGGCGGATTGTCATGCTCATGCGTAATATCGCCTAAGTTTTTTTTTTTTTTTTTAAAAAAAAATTTATAGGACACCTAACTTAAGTTTTCAAAAATAGCAAATATTGCAAATGTTATTATTTAATTATGAAAATGGAATGAGAAGCCCTATTTTTTCTCATCAACCCCATAGAGGAAACTATCTACATTTAAAAAATTTATTATATTTTTCTCAATATATTATAAAATAATTAAATAAATTTTTGAACTATATAATTATGAATATAAGCACAATAACACAATCTAAATTCTTAATTACAAAACTAAGGATTCCCTCTAATGAAGGAATTTGAAAGAAATGATTTGAATTTGACTACAGGGCTAAATTTACGTCAAAAACAATAACCATATTAGATTAAATGTATTTGAAGTATAATACATTTGAGTCCAATACATTTCGAATACGTCCATCCAAAATGTTATTTGAAAGCTCAAAATGTTATTAAGTAGACAGTAATAAAAATAAAAAAATGTTGTTTGAGGTTTGCATGGAAACTTCTTTGTAAATTGTACACAAACACAATGTTAATGTCGGTGTGAAATTCCATGCTATTGAATGGAAAAGCGTCTCAACTGGCGGCGAAAGTTCCAACTTGCTAACAAGGAAAAGAAGGGCAGTGGCGTAATTCGTGCCTATGATATTGGCAACCGGCCAACGCAATTGCGTGTCAAATTTTTTAATATGAAAGTACTGGCTATACCTAAACTCTGTCCATTTCGCGCCACTATAGTACCTGTTTTCTTCTACTTTTGGGATTTTTAATAATTTTTTATTCAAGGCCTCCCTTGGACCCGTGATTGCCAATAAGTTAAGTAATTCAATAAAAAGTTCATTAAAAAAAGAAAAAGGTAATTCAACAAACATGTAAAAGATTGAGTCGGTGAAAAAGGATGATGGTGATCTCAAGTTATCAACTAATATATTTAAAAAAGACCTTGTGCGGCTTCTTCATTTTGAAATGTACGACTATATCTTACAAATAAAAAAGTACGACTATAAAATTAAGGATCCGTTTGATAATTTTTTTAGTTTTTATTTTAGAAAAATTGTATATGATGGACGGAAATTAAGAATCTCACACCATAATGGGGACAAAAATGTTAGATGCGAAGAAAATACTTGCTTACCCCTTTAGTATATATGTCATTCGTTTGCTTTAATAAGAGTTAGATAATGTGTCCGTCTCCTTGTTCTCGAATAAAATGCTTTAATAAAAGTTTAATCATGGGCCGGTCTGCATATCAAGCTTGAACTCAAAATCAAAGCCCGAACTACGCTCGGGTCAAAGCCCAACGCTTCCGCGAGCCCAATTCGAATGCAAGCTTGAGCGCATAATCGCGTGACACGTCAAACCATTGAGAAACCAAATAAAACAAACCGGGATCCGACCCGTTTAAGGTCAGGATCCAAATTAAGGGTAACCCGAAAACACTAACCACCAAACCCAGAGGTTCTGAGCAGCGAGAAGAAAGGGATCGCCGGGATCCCAATCACTCACTCACACGCACAAACGAATACGAAGCAGTATAGATATAGACGCAATCATCGCAAACCCAGCACTCTTCAAGGTACCTTTTACTTCAGTATTTTCTTGGCAAACACTTGGTGGAAAAAGTTTTATCGGGAAAATTATCACTCAGCTACAGTTATATTTACAGTTCTATCGCATTTATGCAGAACTAGGGTTTCCAGTTTATGATTCCCAGATGTTTGGTCAGTATAGTGTCTCTTGTTGCAATTTGAATCGGTGTGTAAAATTTACAGGGCGATTTGAAGGAAGTATAGTTGTGGGAGTTGAATGATGGGATTCAAGGCGGTGCACTGATGTCACTGTTCTGGATTGTGGTTCATCAACTTGCAGAGATCGAAGCAATGGTAAATTGACATCTAGATTATAATTTCGTGGTTTTGACTGCTCAATTATGAGTTTTTAGAACGGGTTCACTACATTGATTTGAGGTTGAATATTTAGTTATTAGGTCAATAACTATCCCCATTGGCATGGTAGAGTGGAGCAGATTTCAATTTCAATAGGAGAAAGAAAAAGAAACTGTAGTTGAAGAGGGTATGTTTTGTGACAATGCAAGTTTGTCTAATATTTCTATGTTGTGCCATAGGCTGCGTCGAAGAAAGTCATAACAAGGGAAGAGTGGGAGAAGAAGCTCAAGGATGTAAAAATTAAGAAAGAAGACATGAATAAATTGGTGATGAACTTTCTTGTCACCGAGGGTTATGTTGATGCTGCTGAGAAATTCCGAAAGGAATCTGGAACCGAACGTATCCTTTTTTTATATATAACTTATGGAATGTTCTTATTGTCGATGTCTTGGTCGTGTGCTTCATTTTGTATTATATGTTGTGTTTCTCCTTATGGTTAGATAGCAGATATTGATCTTGCAACAATCACCGACCGTATGGCTGTCAAGAAGGCAGTACAGTGTGGTAATGTAGAGGATGCAATTGAGAAAGTGAATGACTTAAACCCTGAGGTAGGATGCCATTTTTTAAAACTTTTGGTTATCTTCATAAAAGTCCGTAGTTTTATACTATTGATGAAAAAATTATTGCTCTTTTTTTTCCTTTGATAAAATCTTATATCATTCCTTTTCTCTGAAAATATGCCATGTCATATTAATTGTGGCACTGCAATTTGAATAATCATATTTTTTCCAAACTTGATATGAAGTTTGTCAGCCTCATATGAAGCTCTTTTATAATTGAGGTTGGTTCATATGTCAAATAGTCACTTATTTGATGATAATCATGAGATTCATTATGTGGTGATTGTAAGTAGTGCGTTAATCAACCTCTATCCAGGATGAGTTTGTTGAGCAGGGTATGTTATTGTTGTTCCTGGCCTTTTTATATATATATATATATATATATATATATATATTTTTTTTTTTTTATTGAGCATTAGGGAAGTAGTTATTAAATGCATGATGTTGCTTGATTTATCTGTTAAGAGAATCTTGTCCTTCAGCTTATTAAAATATCCTGTCATTTTTCTGGAAAAGAAAAACGTTCACTGGGATTTTAAAGTCCCGACTTTTCCTCTGGAAGTAACTTGGGAGTAGAAGAATTATTGTGGCTCTCAAACCTTTGTAGGAAAAAAAAAAAATTCAGAGTGGTATTGCTACTCCCTGTCAAAATCATGGGATTTCTTGGCCAAGTTTGTTAGTTTTACCTCCCACCTAGAGCCTCGATCAGTTAGTAACGACTTTTTAAACCCGAAGGGTAGCATATGAGTAAACTATAAATAAGGTGACTCACTTTCATTGTGGTCAGTCTGCCATCATGGTTAGGACTACTACACTTGTAGAAAAAAGAACTTGGACACATAGAATATAAACCTATGCTTAAATGGATGGTTTTCGGCAACCTGTTTTTTTTCTCTTTATGTAAACATGCAGGTAGTGTAGTTTGACATCCATCCATGAGGAGGGTTTCCTTTTTCTTTTAGATTGACATTCAAGTAGCTTCGTTTCCTTTTTATAATTTTTATTTGAGTCTATTCCTTTAGAGATTTTTGCTTGCCAGTGATCAGCCTGTTATCTAAAATATTTAAAGATCTGTGATAACTCTGTTTGCAGATTTTGGATACAAATCCCCAATTATTTTTCCATCTCCAACAGCAACGGTTGATAGAACTAATTCGGAATGGAAAAGTAGAAGAAGCCCTTGAGTTTGCTCAGGAAGAGCTAGCACCAAGGGGAGAAGAAAATGTAAGATTCAGCCCATTGTAAATTCAGCCCATTGTAACTTTGCTTCGATTGACTATGATGAATATAATTTCATGATTTAACTTTCTGTTGGCTTCCCCTAACTCCATCCCACTGAATTGCATTGACTTTGTTGTTTATTCACTCATTCGCTGAAGTTGAACTGTTGTAAATGTTACCAAGGTGGAAGATAGTTACTGATTTATTGAATGCTTCATTTGACCATATTCCCGTGTTAAATTTTGTATCATCACTATCTTATCCTTAGAAAGTTAGAGTTATGATTACTTATTAATACCATCATATGCAGCAAAGCTTTTTAGAAGAGTTGGAGAGGACTGTTGCACTGCTAGCCTTTGAAGATGTGTCCAATTGTCCTGTTGGAGAGCTTCTGGACATATCACAACGCCTAAAGACAGCAAGTGAGGTGAATGCGGCCATCCTTACCAGCCAGAGTCATGAAAAAGGTTAGTCTAAAGTTTGATTTATTCTGTATCTACCTTTGTTTGTGTTCCCAGTTATGATAGAACATAACTGGATTATGTTCATTATTTATCTTCAAAAGCATTTATACTGTTAGTTTGGTTAATATTATTTTTGGTTGCCGACCCCAAATTTTCTTGGAGTAAAAAGGTTTAGTTGGTAAACCGTAAACCCCACAAGAAAAAGTATGGTCGAGTTATAGTTGTAGCACAATATTTTTCATTGCTGAGTACATTGATCATGGTCTTTACATGATTGGAAAACTACACTATTTCCCAGTAACAAAATCATTTGGAAAATTCGCTTTAAAAAATCCAACAAGATTGTTCATCAATTTAATACTATTTGAAGGGATATTCTAGGGTAAAATGCCAAATCGTTCATGAGTATTTTTTAGATCAAATATTGATTAGGAGATAGATCTCCGAAGAAACAATTTTTAACTTCTTATCCAATACAAATCTCCAAATAGGTTAACAATTTTTGTATGTCCTGTTGTCCTACCACAGACCCGAAGCTACCAAGCTTGTTGAAGATGCTGATATGGGCCCAGAACCAGCTTGATGAAAAAGCTGCTTATCCTCGGATAAATGATCTTTCCACTGCCATGCTAGAAGACCCTACTGTCTAGAGGATGTCCGTCCTACCTCCTTGTGTGGAGGATTTAGGTTTCATCTAGGCTTTCATGGAATGACAAATGTTGTATGTACATTTATCGCGAAATGGCTGTATCTACATTCCTCCTTTGGATGTTGTTTCATTGCAATCTTTGTTAATTTTATTATCATTTACGTTTCTGTGGCATTCTCAACATTTGTACAAATGATTGTCTATAACATCTCTTTACGTCTATTTCTTGAGATTGTGGAGTAAATCTTGTTGGCTGTCTTAGGTGCAGCAAAACAGGTAGTGAGCTCCAATAATGCATTGATGTGGTCTTACTTCAAATAATAAAAATTAAAAGAAAAATTGCTGCGGTCTTGTAAAAATTTCGAGAAGCTAGAATGTACATGCGCTTATCGCAGCTTTCAAGTTATAGGTAAGGTAAGCGTTCTTACGTTCCCTTACCTTCTAATGGATTGCATGTAATCTCACTGAACATAAGAACATCATGATCATGTAATTTCCTTGAGCACTCTAGAAAATAAATGTTAGACAATTTAGCCAAACAACGAAGTTGTTAACATGAGAAATGAAATAAGAAAATCATAAGCCACACTTGTAATTATAACCATTCATTTTTTAGACAATGACCACACTCTTCGCAAGCATGGCACTGTAGCTGCTAAATTTTTTGGACACCACACAAACACGAAGAAAAAAGAAAAAACAATCTGCTCCCCTCTTTCCCCTCGCAAACATCACTCCGAAACCACCCAAAGAACATAAACCCAAACAGTATTTTTGACATCTGAATCCGAATGGGGCTGAGGTTTTGTTGCATGTTTCAATTTCAAAGCATTTGCTTCCTGGGCTGATTTCCAAGAGCCATCATCAAAATTCAGAGCATAGCTGGAAGGATCATACTGGAATCTCAACTGCTGCTTGCCAGAGTTCTTGAGAGCCTTCTTCAATGCCGCTCTCATTCTCCAGAACAGGCTCCTACACTGCTTCCTACTGTATGCATTCACCCAAACCAAGCTTCCCACCAAACCCATATTCATAAGTGGCTCGCTTACACTGCTGCTCACTGAGTCTCCTGCACCAAAAACCCAATTGGCTCTTCCCCTGTTTTCTTCGCTGTTTTAAATGAGTTGAGAGGTGGGCTGCAATGTCTCTTGCTCTGGGTTTGTTACTTAGGCAGAGAGAGAAAGGAGAATTAATAGCTAGCTCCTTCACGGACTGAGAAGAGAGAAGCTGAAAATACAAGACTTGAGAAAAGAAAATCTGTTATGGTGCAGCAGAAGGTTGAAATGCGAAGACATAAAAAGGAGGAGAAACAACCTTTTCGAGAAAGGGTGATGGTGAAGGGAATGCGGATGCAAAACGCAATCTTTCTGGTCTCTCAAAGTAGCTGCGCAGCTTCTGCCGTAGTCTACACTGATATACTTTTTTCTTGAAATCACATTGGGATGCTAAAATTCCACCATCTAGAGAGAGTCAGAGAGAGAGAGAGAGAGAGCAGGGACAGTGGGCAGTGAGCCTAAGGTCGTATCACTATCAGAATGTGGTTGGAGCATAACGAATCATTATTTCATGGGTATTTCCTCGGCCTTTACTTTTACCCATTTTGAAGCCATAAAAAATCTAGGACCTTAAACCCTCTACCGTCTGGCAATTAGTGGACGCCTAAAACCTCACTGTAAACTGCACTCTGTTTTTTTTTTAAACTGAAAACTGCCTCTGTTTTTGGATAGAAGACTGCACTCTGTTTTTGGATTGAAAACTGCACTCTGCTTTTTATTTGTTTAGGGGTAGAAAATCCCCTTCTTCTTTTTAGGGTCACAATATCTCTAAGAACTCGTTCAAATTCTTCGGATAACAAAGGGTTTAAAATTCTTATCTTGCTTATTCGACCAAATCACTTTTAAGCCACACATATCCACTCACTGCACAGAGAATTTGATTTCATGGTAATTACCCATGTGGTTTCTTTTTAAGTGACTGCTTAATAATATCATTAGTGAAAAATAACACATATTATTCAAGTTTAAACCAATGTAAAATTGTTGGATATGTGCGTCACAAAGAAAGCTCAGTTTCATCATGTGCAAAGGACCCAGGGTCCACACATGAATCCAAAACGAAAGAAAAAAATGGGCAATGAATCTCTACATTGATCAGTCAAATCAGAGTTTTCTTTTTCCCTCAAAAACTGGTTTGTCTCCAATAGAAGGCAATGCGAGAGGTTCTTTGCTTCTCTTTCTTTTTTGTCTTCATCTTCAAAGCCATTTTGCTTTTGCATATGCTCATTAAATTCCCTTTTGTCTCTCTCTTCACATTTGCTCGTGGCCCTTTGCCCATTCTGTGCGCCTGTGCTGCTGCACCATCTCCAACTAGGTCCCATTTCAGATGACCTGTCATTCTACCCAACAGAGCAACCTATGGCACCTCTCTGCGCTGCTGCTTATGTAGCTATCTCTCTTTTGGATTTGGGTTTTCTAGTTTTGGATGATTCCAATATTTCGGTTTTGGTTTTGCCATCTGGCTTTTTCTTCAAGTGGGGTCCCCTTTTGATGCTTTGGCTCAATGGTTCTAGGCTTCTCCTAGCTAGGGTTAAGTACTGGTGGACCTCAAGACAATGGAGATTTTGTCTTTGATCAAAGGTTGCATCTTGCAACTTAGGCTTATGTATATGGGGGTTGAAAACAATGTGCCAGCCACCCCCGAATTATATCCATTTCAGAGCGCACATTTACACACATTCAACCTGTCAGCCCAGAAAATGTTATCATCTTTCTCCAATAATGCTGCACTGTGTACCTGTTTCTCATGTGATTTTGCTTTCTGAATTTCTTGATGGTGCTTCATCATGCGCTCCTCTTACAGCCTTGCTCAGCAATTCTAGCCTTCTATCTTTTGTCCTCCACTACATTTGAAAAGTTGAAGCATTTAATAATATCGTAATGATAAGTGACTTGTTTAGAATTTAGGGTTTCGGATTAGGGTTATGCTATCATCGAAGCCTAAACACCATCATCATCATCATCCACACCTCAACTAAAGAATTTGCAGAAGATGACATTATATATTTTTTTCAATCTGACCATGGTCTCAGCCCAACCCATCAGCTGGAAACACATGTTCCTGCTGTAGCGGGCAGTATCCAATTCCCTTTGACCAAATTGCACCCTCAGCATGGTTTGATTCCTAGTTGTCACATGCCTTGGTAGCTGTTGGTTTCCCCATATGTTAAAATTGCTTTCTGCTGTCTGAAAAATCTGCATGATAAAAAGCAGATATAAAGATATGAGATCCCAGGAGCACAAACAAGTATAGTGTTATGCACTTTTTTACATATAAAATTGGGACATTAATTTCTTGATAAGCAAACCCGTATCCAAGAGACGATTCTGTTTTGGCTTGGTGAGAAAGAAAAGGTGTTAGATTTCAGATTCTAATGTTATCATATAGTAGTATCTCATGTGGATTTGCCCTACTGATGCCTTTTTAAGTGCTTTTTCAGAGTGCTGTTTCATGCATGTTTGCCTAGCTCAACTCCCAATCTTCCTGTCTAAACAGTGCTTATTGTTTTTTTTTTCCTTTCCTAAGTTTGATTTCTTATGAATTATTTTATATTGATCAATACAGGCCATGTGTTTAGTTGAGATTACGGGAGACCTTTACCCTGTCAAACAGAGTGAAACTAGAATCGTAAAGTTGGGGGCCGAAGTAGAAAATACAAGTATATAAAGCACTTAGGCATTCAATAATTACATGTTTAGAGCTAAATATTTCTAATTTAGTTATGTCTAATTTGTTTTAGATGGAATGTTAACTTATAACTTGTTCATTACAAATTCTAAACATATATAATATAATAGATAAGTGATCCGAATTTCGAGGGGCTAGGGCCACTCCGAGCTTAAAAGTGGCCCCGCCACAAACAATGTATAGCATATAGCAGCACAACACTGATTGATGGACTAATCAATCAGTGCCACGTCAACACTTCTGAACTAAGTTCATCTAAGCTCAACTTAGTTCAGTCCAACACAAACTACTTCCCCAAGTTAGATAGGAATCTAAATTCAAATCACTTTCGCATCTCTAAAGCAGTAGAAATTGTAGAAAACACAACTTACCAGGTAAATTTTTTTTACTCAATCACCAATTCACCATTAACTCTCCCCTCAAAATTTTCCAGCATAGGTGTGAGTTTCTATAACCTTACAAATATACATATACATATATATATATAAGTAACCAGTGAACCAAGAAAAATATAATAATTGGTTAATTAAATTAAACTAATTAATGTCCTTGTTAATGTTGTCATCAGTCAAATTGATCTCAATCAAAACATACTAACCATCAGATAAAGAGTGACTCAAATTCCACACTCTTCTCTAATCTTTAATTATATAACTCGATTCTCTCTTATTTTTGCATCGAATCCTCCGGAAATCTTAATTATTTTACAAAATGGACAATGCAAGAGACAATAACCCGCCAAAAACATTATTATCAACTATTCAATCATGCAACACAAGAAATCCTAGAAATTCACACCAACCCTTATTTCTAGTCGATGTCCTCAAACCACACATTTGTTGTATTCTCCGCTATCTCTCTCTCTATATCTTCCATTTCCTTATATGTTACATTTCCCATTTGACAAAATCAAAATTAATTAGTTCAAAGCCACCCTCCACCACCAAGCTCTCCCAAGCCACTCTAATGGGTTCTCTCCCATCTCCACCAAGACCCTCAACTCCACCACCTTCCTCACCAAACAACTCTTTATCCAGTTACAGGGTTTGCGCCACATTTTGCTTCAGAGAACCAGCGCCAAACTTGAACATCTCTAACTGGATAGAGTTCTACGACCCATCAACCAACACATGGACACATGCTAGCTCGATCCCTGGCCTCACTGAGAACCATATCTTGAAGGGTTTTGCCATGGTGTCTTTAGGTGACTCGATTTACATAATTGGTGGTAGGGTTTGCCGTAAGGAGAGAGCTCACACGTCAGATGAGTGCAGTGAGCTTGTTGACGTGGATATTGAAGTCTCTTCATCTGTGTTGCGTTACAATGTTGGGTCTGACCAATGGTCAACGTGTGCGCCACTTGGCATCCCAAGGTGTGACTTTGCCTGCACGGTTTCCGAGAACAAGATCTATGTGGCCGGGGGTAAGTCCACGCTAGCATGCGCAAGGGGGATTCCATTAGCTGAGGTGTACGATCCCGAGCTCA